GTCTGTCTGCTCTCCCCTTTCCACTCTGAACCTTCCTTGCCTGTTTAATGCTCTCCTGCGCAGTTTTCCTTTGGCATTCACCTTCTCTCAAATTCCTTTCCCCTTCCTTAGATTTGAGCAAACTCTATTTTCTATTTCCATAACTTTGCCTTTTCTGGGTGTTTTGAATATGGGATTGTATTGCTCATGGCTTTTGTTGGTTATGTATCTTGTAATGGATATTTAGATATATTCTACGGTTTTGGCCATTACAAATAATGTTGCTATGAACTAATGCTTCTTTTTTTCGTATGGACATGTTCTCACTTCTTGGGTATATATTTAGGAGTGGAATTTCTGGCTCATATGGTAAATATTTAAATTGTGCAGCAAGGCCAGCCTGATTTTATGAAGTGATTGCATCAATATGTATTGAAGCAGTAATGGCTGAGACCTCCATCTTCTCTAGTTATCTACATAAATACCTTAATCTGCCAGGCCTGGCTCATGACTATAATCCTAGCTACTCAGGATCTGAGGATCGTGTTTCAAAGCCAGCACCTGCAAGAAAGTCCATGAGACTCTTATCTCCAATAAACCACCAGAAAACCAGAAGCGGCCTTGTGGCTCAAAAGGCATTGAGCTAAAGAACTGAGGGACAGCCCCACGCCAGAGTTCAAGCCCCAACAACAACAACAAACCACACCTTAATCTATTTCATTATGCCTGCTTTCCATCCTACTGATGGTTGTTTTTAAATTTCCCCCCATCCCCCAATTTTTTTCATTCCTTGCCACTTCAGTTCCAGGGTTTGACCCTCATAGGTATGTGTTATTCTCACTTTCCAGCTGAGACAGAAAGGCCAGTAAGATCAAATGACTTACTCAGTGTCACTCTAGTGGGCTGGGAATGTGCCTTAGTGGTAGAGGGTTTGCCTTGAATGCATGAAGTCCTGGGTTCAATTCTTCAGTACCACATAAACAGAAAAAAGCCAGAAGTGGCACTGTGGCTCAAGTGGAAGAGTGCTAGCTTTGAGCATAGAGAGGCCATGAATTCAAGCCCCAGGACTGGAAAAAACAAACAAAAACTCAACAACAAAAACCCTGGTGGTGGAACTAGAATTGAGGCATGATGGGCCAGACTCCAAAGCCTGCATCTTCCAACTTTTGACACTAATTTCTCCTTAATCAAGCTTCCCTGTGGCTCTTAGGATATTAAGCTTTTTTTTTTTTTTTTTTGGCTTCTACTTCCTTCCAATACATAGCAAAACCCACCCTGACATGTCTTTGTCTTGCAAAAACATTCTTAGCAAATTCTTTTTTAAAGATACTGCCATCAAATCTTGTGTGTCTGTAGATATGATGCCCTCATCCTGTGATGTTCTAACACTAGTCCAAAGTTGACCCCCTCTGCCCCCCAAATTTTATTAATCCTCAAAATGTCATTTAAAGGAAATCTGCAGAAGACGGAAGATACCATAAACCCTTTGCTATTTTAAAGTGGAGTCTTTCTTTCTGTGCAGACAGATTCAGTGTGGCTGGTCATATCTTAGCACTTCTGAGAATTAGTCCTAGGAAGCCTTGTGCTTCTATCATGTAGGGAAGCACACGTAGCCCAGTGTAAGGACTATGAAGAGCTCTGGCCAGCACCAGCACTGACTCACCAGCCACGAGTTAAGTGATTTGTGACTGCATAAAAGTTAGGAGTAATCTGTTATGCAGCAATAAGTAGTCAAGACATGTATGAGGTCTTTATTATTATCCTTACAATAATCTTATGAGATAGCTTTGATCATTATGGTGATAAATCTGTCACAGTGACTTTGGATAACCCAATCTAAAGACTAGTTTTTCCTGATTGTTGTGTAACTTCACCTTACAGTCCATGTTAGAACTGTGAAGTCAGACATAACTAAGCTTAAATCTTTTTTATTTCTTTTTTTAGGTAGTAGTAAAAGAGAAAATTAATTATGATCTAGGCCCCAGGGACAGCATCTTGATCTAGTACGTTGAAACCAGGTATCAAAGAGGAATGCAAACTAATAGAACATATTAATGAAATCCATTATATTAGAATCCAAAGAAGAATCATGAGTATCTCTACAGATGCTGGCAAGGATTGTAGTGAAATTCAGCATCTGTTCCTAAAAATATGCTTAAAATAGGGATTAGCGGGTAATGTGAGGACTAAATCTATTTCAGTACCTCACTGTTGTATTGTCAGTGTTATTTAACACCGTTCCAGAGTACTAGACAATCCAAATTAAGACACTCGGAAGTATGTTAACTGGAACAGTTTACTGATCTGTGTTTCAGATGACATAATTGTGTGGTTGAAAAATATAAAATGACAAACATAAGCACTACTACGAAAGTTTAAGAACATGAAGTTTTGGGGCTGGATAAGAAATTTACACCAAAAACCATACTAGCTTTTCTATATACTAAAATTTAGTTAAGTAAATAAATGGGAAAAAATTTTTACCTATGGCAAAATGATAAAACTTGTGAGAATACATTCTTTAAAAACATGTCTAAAGCAGAATGTAAATAATATGTAGAAAACAACAAGACACGAGGGCCATTAGAGAAGGTGTCATGATTTAGATGAAAAGTAGACAACGATGTCCAATTACCTACTGTACATTAACCTCTAATAGTAAACCTATCCAGAAAAAAACGCTTTGTAAACTCAGGAAGTTGACTCTGAAGTTCAAATGTCAAAATAAGACTACCTGAAATGTATTTTAAAATGAGTTATTATACAATGAAGTATTAGTACAAAGAGATGCAGATTGATTGGGAGAACAGAATTAGTTTTAAAACACAGAAATATTGTGGAAATTTACTATATACAAATTCTATTTCAATGGGGTGCTGGTGCCTCACTGTTCAAAGCCAGCCTGGGCAGGAGACTGTGAGACTCTTATTTCCAATTAACCACCAGAAAACTCTAAATGAAACTTTGGCTCAAAGTGGTAGAGTGCTAGCTGTGGGCAGAAAATCACAGGGCCAATGCCCAAGATTTGAGTTCAAAGCTTATGCCGACCAAAAAAAAAGTTCTATTTCAAATCAGTAAAGAGAATTATTTAGTAGCTTTGGGAAAACTAGGTAACTCCTGGAAAGAGACCAAAAAAGCCCTGAATTTAGAGAAATAATTAATTTAAAGATGCATAAATATTCAAATTCTAATGACATATTTCCACATGAGAAAGGGTATAGCAAACATGCGCTGTATAACCTACACTACAATGTATGGCACTGATACACATATAGTATATGTTTATATACTGTATGTCAAATATATGATTTTTTCTGTAGAAATATACAAGAATCTGGTGTCATTTCAAAATGGAACTAAAAGATGGGTTTCAGGAGCAGGAGAGGAACTTACCTTTTACTGTTTAAACCAGGGAACTGTATAAGTCAATTAAAAAACAACACAAAACAAAATATGTCAGCAGTATGCACAAGACTCTATGTTTGATCCCCAGAACTTGAGGGAAAAAAACAGAGAAAATAAAACCACCAACCTCTCTGGTGGATAAGACTATTAGGGCCTACATACATTAGAGGTGATTTGGGAATGTCTGGTCCCTGGGCTGTAAATGGCCAGCGAACTCACTTGATCTGGCCCAACTTCAAGTGGGACTTGAAATTAGATAAATCTAGCTTCATCAATAACGTGAAATTAAAAAATCTAGGCATGTGAATGCTATAAATATTCACATTGGCCCTTTGCAGAAGAAAAATGCTTCCCATCCCTAAAAAGATGACTAATTTGCTAATCTGAATTCTGCCAGTACAATATTTTGTATATGAAAATAATAAAAAGGGTATATTATATGAGACACATCAATTAGGAGACAGTTTTCTTAATAGGTAAAGTGATATTCAAGTGTGTAGGGAATTTTACCCTTTGAGTAAGCTACTGCTTTACCACAAGGTTGCTACATCTCCTTCCATTTTCTTCTAAATGTATTACGTACTCTGATGCCTGAATTTGTACATGCGTCTAGATTCAACGGGAACAAAGAACAACTTTGGTTTAAAAAGTACCTCAAGGCAATAAAAAAAATCATTTTAATTTCTGATACATATTAAAACATTTTAGTCAGTTCTTCCTGACAGCATAACAGGACAAATACACAAGACCTCAAACATGCTTTAAAATGACATTCAGCAAAGTATTTAAAATTTAATAAATAGCAATAATCACACACAGATACATTTTTCATACTCAATCATTAAGCTACTAAAACAGACAGCTAAAGAATAAATAAATAGGAATTAACAATAAAAAAACCCTGGGTTTTTGCAACTCACTATACTTAAAAGGGGGGGCAATTTGAATTTTTAAATTTGCTTTTCTTCCAGAGTATAGCATGACCCCCATGAATAAAATATACTGAAAAAATCACTCTTACAATAATGAAAACTTTAAATACAACAAATAAATATGAAACCAGCAAAGCAATTTCAAATTGTAATAAAAATGATCCCCCATCCCTCCAGAAAGCTATGGAAATATATAGTCACTGTGGTAGCAAAGAATACTATTTAAAGTGATAGTGCTTATGCACTAAACTCATCTGAGACCTTGTTACGATTTTAGTGCAAATCCCGAGGGCCAATACAATAGAACCCCTAGACTAGGGAAAGACAAGACCAGCTGGAACTTAGCATGTACCATTTTTGTACACAGTTTATAAAGTTCAAGATTTAATGCATAGTAGAATATCTTCATCCATTTAATTCTGTCCCAAAATAGAGATGAAAACAGAAATATGAAATGGGATTTTACCATTTGGTTTGTACCATATTTGAGTATTAAAGTCAATATTAGAAAATCTATAAAAGGTTTGTTTTTGCCATTAATTTATCTAACTCTACCTAAATTTCATATCACTATGTTCAACATAAGAAAAAAATTTTGAGGAAATTTTTTTCCCTTTGATAAATGCATATTATAATGAAATTCAATAATAGACAAATGTATGCAAACAAGGTGAGTATGTTTTCTTTTTGTACATCAACAATCTTAACATCTAGTGTAATAATTTGTGTATTGGCAAAAGCATAAAAGACTCAATTTGAAGACAAATCTTTTTTAACATAGGACGGATAAAATGACAGTCAACTGAGTTTAAGCAGCTGTATTTCTACTGTGAACTACAGTACCAGGATGAAAACAATTAAAAACAAATGGAAGAACATTACTGAACAATATGAACACATAATGTAGTTTTAGCTGCTAAAAGAGTAAACTCTAAGTTCATAGAGTTACAAGTTGTTTAACTATGCAGGCTAACATATAATAAAAAATCATCCTGCATCTTTTTTTTTTGTAAACTAAAACTAGTTTAATTGTAACATTACAAAACAATGAATGGATATTGCTCCAACTTGTATACAATCTCCCTTATGTGATTAGGACTAACAAAGTAACAAAGCCTCATCATCACTCGTTTCATTTTTCAGTGCTGCTTCTAAGCAAGTGTCTGGTATCTGGGCAGTATGGACGATTCCACAGCGCTCACAGGGGCCATCGCGATTGCTTGGCCTTACTCCAAGGTTTGTTGCACTGTGTGGTTGCCTAAAGCCTTGTCCTTGATCGGAGGCAAGATCAAGAAGAGGTCTGGAGCAGTCATTAACATCAGTGTCTGAAGCTCCATCAGAAATCGGAATAAGCATTTCGACATCATCATCATCTTCTCTTCCGTTTACCCCATTATCAAGTTGTCTCAAAGGACTCTGGTTCTGACTTGCGGAATTTGATCGACCTAATGTAAAACGTACCCAACGTAGTCCCTGAGTCATACGACTGAAAGCACTGGAAAGCTGGTGCCGAGCTGGACTCACACTTGGGGGTTCCACACTGGTCACTTCTCTTCCATTATCTGGGTGACTGCCTCGGGTGCTTTGAGTTGAGGAACTTCCACCTGCTCCCACGACAGCCTCGACTGCTGTTGTGGGAGGGACTTTTTGGGGCAAAGGTGCTGCAATCCCACCAGCAGCTCCAGCTGTATCTCTTCTCTCACCTTCTGTGTCTGTGTCATCAGACTCCACGGAAAACAAACTTCTGTGAGCATTTCTTTCAGGTTCTCTGCTGGTATTCTGACTAGGGACAACCTCATCTCCATCTGCTGAGACCAAAGCCAATGACCCTGAATGACGTGATCTTGCAAAATTAAAAATACGATTCCAGATGTTGCTCGATCTGCCTGCCATAGGAAGCCTGATTGAAGTAAATCCAAGCTGAGATCGTACAGCTAGCCTTAGGTTTTCCAAAACAGAAGCCTAGGAAAATAAGAAAAAATCTTAAGTAACACAAAGAATTGAGATGGGTAACATTCTTGTATTAAGAATATGTTGTGGCTAAAACTTCTTCTACTCATTGTTATTAGGATGGATTAACTTCTCTGGCCTCTATCCTGTAGAATCTAATCTATAACGAATCATGTCTCTCTGTTTGAGATCTCTCAACTCCTTCCTCTCTTACTTCTCTCTCCATCTAGCTCTTTCCTCTCTCTCACTCACACTCTAGTACTGAGATCTAAACTCATGGCCTTGAACTTGTTAGGCTGTATCCCTTGAGCCATGTCCTTAGCCCTTTTTACTTTAGTTATCCATTTTGGAGATAGTCTTGTTTTCATCTTGGCCTGAGACCCATCTACTTACACTTCCTGTGTTAGATTACAGTTATACACCACCATACCTAGCTTATTTGTGGAAATGGGGTCAGGGGAGGAAGAGTTTCATTAACTTTTTGTCTAGGCTGTTCTTGAACAAAATCCTTCTGATCTTTGTTTCCTGAGTAGCTAAGATTACAGGTGTGGGTGTGGACCATGTCCTGCCCCTGGAAGATTTTCTTGATACTTCATTTTAAACATTCAACTTAACAATGATTCTTAGTGTCAAATATAAAAAGTTACTGTTTCAAAACTATAATTATCCAATTCTAAAGTACAGTGTAACAAAGGTAGGGCATAAAATAACTTGGTACTTCTACAACTAGGAAGAAAGGCAAACATCTTTCATATGATTTTGCTAAGAGGCTAGTGTGAAAACAAGGCTTCTTTTAATGTTTGGTTTTTAAAAAAAATACAAACAAGTTATACTTGATTTATAAGGCTGACCTAGCACAAATATGTAAGAACTATATTTCAGACTTGGTTTTCAAGGATTTGTTGAATTAATAGATACTGAGGCAACACCAAGGTTATTATAGGCATTTAGATTCTGTCTTAATTTTTAAGGATTATTTTGTTTTCTACAGTTTGTGTTGGGCATAAATCATACTGGTTTCTTTGCTTTTTTTTTTTTTTAGTGGTGACTTTTTTTCTCCCATCATAGTGTGTCTTTATCACTAGCTCAAATATTTCTCCTACTTTGAGCTTTTAATTCTGTGGTGAATAAAAATTGATTTTTAATCAGTACATATGAAAATGCCTAGCCCAACTAAAAGAAAAATGTATTTTCTCTACATGGATAAAAATATTTTTACAAAATGCACGGAATATAGTCTTTAAGCTCCACCTAGTGGTTATAAAACAAAGTATTCAAACTTTGAACCTGGCATAAATGATCATTTAAAATAAGGTGTATTGATCTTCTCTCCTTCAAATGAAAAGCCTTCCCACAAACTCTTGTCTTTCCCCTCACAGAAAAAAGAAGAGAAGTGTCTAAGGAAGGTAGGATAGCCATGTTCTCCATCGGTCATTGTGACTGGTATGGAGATTGTGTGGTTTCCACATGGGTCTTTCCATAGTGCTAGGAATGTCATCCAAGGAAGGCCACGAAGCTACTAGGATAGGAAAATGTCATAGTTTAGTTTTACTGAAGTACAGATTGTCAACAGGAAATGTGGGTGTCAGTACACATAGACCTGCAGCAAGAGATACATAATGAAAAAAAGAAGTGGCTCCCATCAGCATGAACTCCTCCAGCAGTGATCAGTGTTTAGCATTCAAGATGTCTGGCTTTGTGTGAGCAACAGGTTGTGAAATGCTGCAGTGAATAGAAGGTTCTTCAAGTACCATTCTGTGGCTCCCACCCAGCTAAATTAATAATGTCTCCAGTATATATTAATACTACTTTTAACACTCGAGTCTGTCACAGTCCAGGTGAATAGCACCCTGTAGGGAGAAGTCTTAGAAACAATTTTCTACACTTCAGATTATAAAACAGCATGTTCTCCGAAGGCCTTTCTTCCTTTTCCTTGGTGGTTTTGGGGTCTCAACTCAGAACCTGTGCTTGCTAGGCAAGCATTCTTCCCGTGGAGCTACTGCTATGCTGAAAAGCATTTATTTTAAATGAGATAATAATTTTTTTCCCCAAAACTGCTATGGAATTTTGATAATTTATTACCAAAAATTTTAAAACTGAATTTAATCTCATTAAATAAAATTAAGCTTAGTATTCACGAACACACTTTAAAAGTGTAGTTGAAGTAGAATGCTCTCACAGAAGGGTAAATTAAAACCTTGGAGAATGGGCTTTTTACCTTAGTTGAAGAATTTAATCTTACTCAAAGCCTTTGACCTGAGCTTCTGGGATATGACCTCTAAACCTCTGGAATGTCATGCCTGACAGAAATGTCTGCCTGGAGGCCTTGTGCTAGCTAGATAGCAACAACCTGACTTAGTGTGGTGGTGGCTTTAGTCAGGTGATGTCAACCTTAGGAGGGTCTAGAGACTGAGATGAGCCACTTAGGCATTAATTATGATCTTGATAAAAGCTCCGGATGGGGGGGGAGGGGGCTTAGGTTAGTGTCAAGTTGGTAATACTGCTTGTACACTATCTGTCACACGTGCGACACTGCTCTCCAGTTTCTGGTAAAATGGCAGCTAGAAGTTATGTGTTCAGCATCCTTCCGAATTTCAGTTTTAATCTGAATCTAGTAATACATGGAAGCAAGAAGTAAACAGTCCCCAGTGACTTATCTGAGTGCTCCTACTGAAAATGAAACCCTGAGGGTCGTTGGGGGAAGCTCTAAACTTGCAGTTGGTACTGGGAGTGAGGGAAGTCTTGGGGTTACTGTGTGCCTTCTGGTAAGTGTTCAGGGGTGCAGTAGTGAATGAGTAAGTGGAATTAACCTTGGTCTGGATTTCCACTTACAAAGAAAACCACCCCACCTCATGGCAGAGAAGATATATATAAAGAAGCCACACTTTAGATTTTTTTCCTATTCTATTTTGCACACACACTTTCAAACAGTGGGAATTCTAAATTACAAGGAACGTTTAGAGAAAGGTTCAAAAGCTACAAATTTTCAACAACTATTTCCTATAAGGATAAAGACCATAATAGTAAACAATCTCATCTATCAAAAGTGAAATTGTGCTTATTTTGAAATTACCTCACTGAGTTCTTAATTCTAATACTGAGGACTATTTTTATAAATGTTTCTGGGTAAGTTTACAATTTAAATATATATGTATGTACACACACACACACACACACACACACACACAAACTTCTGTGCCTGATATGAACCCAGAGACATATTCTTAAATCTTAAAGAATTCTTTTTTTTGGGGGGTCCGGTCGTGGGGCCTGAGCGCTGTCCCTCAGCTCTTCAGCTCAAGGCTAGCACTCTACCACTTGAGCCACAACGCCACTTCCGGCTTTTTACTTTTTGCTTATGTGGTGCTGAGGAATTGAACCCAGGGCCTCATGCATTCCAGGCAAGCTCTCTACCACCGAGCCACCTTCCCAGACCCTGCAAGAGAGATTTTAACTTAGTTCAGTTACTTTTACTTCTAACTGGATAGTCTGACATGTGACATCATTAGTATATTAACTTTAGTATTCTTTCTCATCTTTGAATGTTTCAAGTTGAAAATAATTTGCCAGTTACTTATGAATTTTAGTGTATTAAATTACTCTAACAATAAAATGCTTAAGAATCAAACCAAATCAGAAGAATAAAAAAGTCTTTTGATTTTGTGTTAAAATATAAGAAAAATTATAATTTTAAATTCTCCATACATTTAGTCCTTAACTTGATTGCAAATTTCTACCAATCAAGGGTCCTTGTTCACCACACATTCAGGTATAAATTGTGTTTTATGAGACAATAAAAATCAGAAATTGCAATATACCTGATTAGGGGAACAGACAGGAAAATCTTCCACTGGTGGAATTAAACCCTGAGCAATCAACTGCCCATACGAAGGAGGGGCTTCTCTTCGTAACAATTCTGCTTCCACTCTTGACAACTGGGTTTCAAATGATCTTTAAGAACAGAGGATAGAAAAGGGTTAAAAAAGGCAAGTACTTTCTACTAGTTAAAAACATCTGAATCTTTGTATATCTTTCTTTTCTTCTTTCTTGGTTGATCATGGGGCTTGAACTCGGCCTGGGCGCTGTCCCTCAGCTCTTCAGCTCAAGGCTAGTGATCTACCACTTGAGCCACAGTGCCATTTCAGGTTTTCTGGTAGTTTACTGGAGATAAGTCTGACAGACTTTCCTGCCTGGCTGGCTTTGAACTGTAATCCTCAGATCTCAGCCTCCTGAGTAGCTAGGATTATAGGCATGAACCACTGGTGCCTGGCTTGTATCTGATTATATTTAAAGCTGAAGTCATTCAACCAAACTTAACTCTGTGGACAGTCTATCTACACAGGGCCTTCATCCTGCTTTTTTTTTTTTAAACCAGTCAGGGCCTGGGCTCTGTCCCTGAGCTTCTTTTGCTCAAGGCTAGCACTCTACCAGTTGAGCCACAGTGCCACTTCTGGCTTTTTTTGTGTATGTGGTATTGAGGAATCAAACCCAGGGCTTCATGCATGCTAGGCACGCACTCCACCACTAAGCCACATTCCCAGCCCCATGCTGCTCTTTAGTTTAGGTGTGGCAACAAAGTGCCTTGCCATTCCACTGTTCAAAGAAAAGATGCTATAACTATCATGATGCTGTGCTTTCTGTCTGTTTTTAAGCCTAGTTGTCTGGTATGTCCTTTGTTAAACCTACTATTTGTGACTCCATTAGACTAGAAGTCATTGTTTCCACAATAGCCGTTTGGGGGCCTTCTGTAAGATTAACTTCTCCCAGGTCCAATTTCCTCTGCCCTACACTGAAAACTACTTTCCCTAAAGAGGTTATCCTTTTAATAGTTAATTGTCTTACTGAACTGAGAACTCTGAGGCACAGCTTTTATGAAACTGTATAATAGGATGCTGGAGTTGTAGCCAATCTCATCACCTATTAGTCTTTCATGTGTGTCTTAGGCTCCAGACCAAATGAACTATATACTCATCTCCAAGCAATGCAGGGCATTCCCATTTCTACAGTCTCTTAGGTTTTTAACTCCAATGCCTTTTCTCTACTTATAGTCTACTCACACATTTCAAATGGCATCCCTCCAAGTAAACCCTTCCGTACCCTTCTGTCAGATTACCACTCTGTTTTACAGCTCTTTTAGGACTTGCAGTTTGTAATATTATTCCATATACCAATTCCTTCTTCCTAACTGTAAACTGCTTGTGAGATTGTGCCTTATTCATTTTTCTTTCAATTCAAGAGTGCTTTCCACAAATAACACTTGTAAAATACAAGTTAAAAAATTAGAACTGAGAGTTGTAGCATACAAAAGATCTACCAAACATGTTCATCTGAAAAGAAGAGATGGTAACAATGATGGGCTTTTCTCATAAATCTAAGCATTTCATAGTTGGAATGGGTTAGCCTTGAGTCTTAGGCTTTTCATACTAACATTGTAAGTTGTTAAACAATAGATACATTTCTAAACTAACATAAAACAAAAATATTTTGGCAATAACATGGAAGGACTTGTGGCAAACATACGGGCCGTGTTTCTGTTGCAGACAGCATAATCACACTAGTTTTACCTGGATACTGACCTTCGTTCAAACATTCTCAGGGAGTAAAGCTTACAAGTACATCCCAATGCAATGACGAGCAGCAGGCCACAGATAAGGCTTCCGATGACGGCTGCCGTTATGACTCTGGTAGGCACAATAACTGGGCAATTCTCCTCATCGCTGCCATCACCACAGTCATCTTGAGAATCACACACCCAACTTTCAAACACACAGCGATTATTTTTACAATGAAAATTTCCTGGCTGGCAAAAAAAGCAGTTTTTTTCATCAGAGCCATTTGGGCAATGGTTTTGGTAGTTGCAGCGATCAGAACGAGGATAACAGACACCATTTCGGGAACATGGAAATTCTTCCTTTTGGCACATGGTACAATTGATTTCATCCCTTCCATTTGGGCAATGCCAGTACCCATCGCACCGCTGCTGCTCAGTGTAACACCCCCAGTTGCCTCCACAGGGTATTTCCCATGGCAAACAGAAGCCATCTACTTGGTAGGTAGCATTAAAACCTCTTGCTGCATTGACTTTATCAGCACAAAAATGTACTCTTATCTGTCCAGAAGAAGAAACAACTGTAAGAGGAGCATGCGAATCAAAGGCTGTCAACACACGTAAAAGCTTGTGTGGATTCTCCTCTAATCCATCATATATTTTCACATAGTCACCATAACCCGTACCATCAAGTTTGAAGTCAGTGAAGCGTAAAATGACTTTGCGATGATCACCTGTGTCTATTAACCAGGTACAATTGCTTCCAGGAGGATAAAAGTCTGGATAGTTGGGAGAATTAAAAGTACCATAAAAATACTTTAACCACTGCCCACAAGTTGGCACATCACAGTCTATCTCATCTCCTAGGTCAAGGCAGTCAATGTTGCCATCACATTTTAAAGATTCAGGAAGACAAGTGTAAACTTTGGTAAAACGGGACAGACACTGGAACTGGTTGTAAGCGCAGGGCTGAAAAGAAGCGGCTGTTGGAGGACTGGCTTCTTTGGCACAGATCTCTTCATCGGAACTATCTCCACATTCATCCATGTTATTACATTTCCAGGCTTCGGGTATACACTTTCCATTACCACAACGAAACTGATCACAAGCACAGTTTGGCTCTTCTGATTTCCCTGTGAGTATGTGGCCAGAGGAGCAGGAAGAAGAAAAACATACTCTTCAGAAGACATAAAGTAGGTACTGTTAAGGCTTTAAAAAGTTCTGTTCAAAATAGGTTAAGTTCTAGTGACAAATTAGTACTGGCACTAATTACTAATTAATTAAATGCCAATTATTTTTTTCTATTAAATTCTTTGCATCCCAATCTGAAGAGAGAATGGATCAATTCTGTTTTTGCATATAGCTGGAAGCATTTACGGAACATTTAGTAAAATGGTGTACAGAACCAAAGTCAAGTAGGATATACTGAGAATTTTAAGTAACACAATAGTTAAATGAATATTCTTTTTGTTGTTGTTGGTTGTGGGGCTTCAACTTGGGGCCTGTGTGCTGTTCCTGAGCTCTTTTTGCTCAAGACTAGTACTCTTCCATTTCGAGGCACAGTGCTACTTCTGGTGTCTTCTGGCAGTTAACTGGAGACAAGAGTTTCACAGACTTCCCTTCTAGGGCTAGCTCCGAACTGAGATCCTCAGATCTCAGCCTCCTGAGTAGCTATGTTTATAAGCATGGGCGCCACTAGTGCCCACCTAAATAAATATTCTTAAAGAACAAAAATTCAGCTAGACACTAGTGGCTCATGCCAGTAAGCCTACCGATGATCTGGAGGAGATCTGGAGGATCTCTGGGCAAAAAAGTCCTTGAGACTCCTCCAACTAACTGGCAAAATGCTGGGCTAGAGGTGTGGCTCAAGTAGCACAGTGCCTGTCCTGAGCAAGAAAGCTGAGTGAGAGCTCAAGGTACCAGCACAAACCAAAAACAGAAGAAAAATTAACTCACTACAAACACCTTCACAAACTTCTTTTCATATTCTTTACTTCCTTGTTGCCCCTCATATATAAACAAGTTAATACTTTGCTATATACATCATGGCACATTTTACAAACTTTTAGGCTTCACTTTTGCTAAGATTATTATTAAACTGTTCATATTTTATGCAATCATAACTATTGTTGTAATTTATAATTTTGTAATTTCTATTTTAAACATAAACACAAGGTATCACAGAAAGTTAAGTTAAAGACATCATTTTTTATCAAAACACAAGGGAGAAAAAAAAGTACTGATGTGCTTATAGATTCCAACAGTTTTAGTATTCATCTTAAACAATCCTTATAATAACATAGGGTAAGGCATCCAAACGACGCTAGAGTCCCACAGTTCCCAAACTGGCAATGCTGGAACAATGCTTACTTCTCCACCTAAAACTTATTATAGAAAATGTGCTTTGGAAGGTAAATATTACAAAGACTGTAATTTTAAGAAAAAAGAATGTGTATGATCTGGTTATACTTTTTGGAAATAGTTTCAGAAAAGCAAAAAAAAAAACTTCTGAAACTATGGAGGTGAAACTGGTCAAGTCTTTTCTTTGAAGATGTAAAGACTGATAGTAATTAATACATACAAAAGTATATTCTGAAGTAACTTTAGGATATGGGTAAGCACTTGGGAGAAAGGTCTACATTTTAAATAAATGCATTTAAGACTTTTAGGAAAAAACCAACCTCAATTTATGAACTTAATCATTTTATTAGGATTATACAAACCACCTTTTGGAGGTATAATTCTAAGGTACTTGACTTCAGTGTCTAATCTTCAACTCAGCTACCTTGTTTACTCAGTTAAATGGACACAGAAGATTAGCTCTGAAGTGACTGAACAGTTAATACTACAGAACCTGGTTCAATAGCATCTTCTTTTTAGAAACACACCTGAAAAATATGCCAGTCTGAAGCCTTTTCTAGAGATGCTGTCATCTGAATGGAACCTGATCCAAACATGGTCTTGTGAAGAGATATATGGAGGTGGAATTGTGGAACCACAAGCTCTGTAACTTTCAATATTCTTGTACGTTTCTATGGTTAACCAGTCCAAACTGCATCTTCTGGATCCTTGAATATCAAAATCCTGAAAACTACAAAACATTTTGAAAAGTTAGAAAAGGCTACTTAAAATTTTTTGGAAAAAATTTCCTAATAATTCAATGTAACACAGGACACTGTTATAAACCTTTATAGTAACAATGATATATCCTTTCTTGGGATATCATTATTAACATATTAACACATCATTAACAAATCATAATAGCCACATCATTAACAAATAATAATATTGCATTTATGTTCTTAATATTTGTGTTCTTTTCCAAATTCCAGAATAGCACTTCTTTTTCATAAGGTGATATGATATTCCAAATGAATGCTCAAAACTAGGTGATAGTTGACACCTTTTTCCTTTTCCTCAGTGAGACTATTTAAAAAAACCCACTAATTTGCAACATCCTAAACTGTCTGTGTTTGAAACAGAAACACCAGTGTGTCTATCATCTCCTGAACTGAACCATACGCAGAGAAAGTCAGTTTTGTCTTAGAGTAAACTTGCTCATATGCTTACTAAAGAGAAAATTTACAGCTTATACTTTTTATAAAGCAAATAGGAACAAAGTAACAAAAATGATGAAACAAGAAAGAGTTTGAAAAGCCTGAGACTGAGAATTGCTTTTATACAAATCACTTTATAAACATTATCATGTAGTTCACAAAATATGGGCGCAAATAAAGAACAAAAAAAGGCAAATAATAAATAAGAACATAAACAAAATCAGCCACTGCTTATGACAAAAGCAAACCTTTTTCTAGCATCTGGCAGACAGCCACTGTGGAAATGTCCAGACAACAATCATGTAAGCCAGTCTAAAAGAACTACTTTAACAATTATCATGGTATGTACAGACACATTTATATTTATATATGTTATTAATTCTATCCTTCTAGTGAACCCTAATACATGATCCATTCCATCAAACTACACAAAAAGATCTAAATAAAACTAGAATAATCTTTGATGACTTTTAAAATCAATTGTTTTCATTTATTGTATATTTTTTTCATTCAGCGCCTAGCTTTTTTTTTTTGTGAAAAACCCATTCAATCTTACTGTTTACCCGATTCCCCCCCCCCCCCCACCCCAGAGTTCAAACTTGAGGCCTTGCACTTGCTTGGCTTGCTTGCACAGCTGGCATTCAGCCATGTCTCCTCCAGCCTAACTTTTTGCTGGTTATTTGAAAACAGAAATCTCAGAAATTTACCTCCCAGGCTGGCTTTAAACTAAATCTCCTGGATCTCATCCTCCTGAGTAGCTAGAATTAAGGTGTCAAGAAACCATTGCTGGCTCCTTCCTTTTCTATTTTAGGGTTTACTCTGTAATTCCTTTTCTAAACCACTGAATTAAATGTTGAGCTTACCTAGTTTCCATCTAACTGATTTTTAAAGTAAGAAATGCTTAATTAAGCTGGTAAACTATTCTAAGCATTCTTTTGATGCACTCCCAACAGTTTTGATATACAATAACTTTTTCTAAGGTTATTTAAAAAAACATTTAAAGGCCATTTGTGGTAGTGTACACATGTATTTCCAGCTACTCAGGAAGCATAGATAGAAGGATCACAAATCTAAAAGCAAAAGAACTAGGAGGCATGGATCAAGTGGTAGAGTACCTGCCTATATAGTGCAAGGCCTTGAGTTCAATCCCCCGTTATCATTTCCCTAAAATAGAAATTAGTCCAGGGCTGGGAAGGTGGCTCAGTGGTAGAGCGCTTGCCTTACATGCATGAGGCCCTGGGTTCGATTCCTCAGCACCACATAAGCAAAAAGAAAAAAGCCGGAAGTGGCGCTGTGGCTCAAGTGGTAGAGCGCTAGCCTTGAGCTGAAGAGCTGAAGGACAGCGTCCAGGCCCAGAGTTCAGGCCCACGACTGGACCCAAAAAAAAAAAAAAGAAATTAGTCCCATTATGATTTCCTCTTTAAGGCAAGAATTATGAGTTTCTGAGAAATACATTTCCAAGCATATAGGCTTTGATACTCTATTTTGACTGTGCAGCAAGCAACAATGAGCAAACAAAAAAGTGAACATTGTAGGTTTGAAATGCATGAAGAATTCTTTTGTGATTTTATAATCACTAAAAAAAAGTCCCATATACTTGTGTATTTAAGCATAGGATATTTAAAAACCTTCTTCTATAACTATGGCTTAGTCAAATTTGTTGGTAATTCTCTGCATTTTGCTTTGCATGTATTTTAAGCTATGTTATTAGAGACACCAAATTTGCTATTTTTTTAATCAATCATTCTAGGGAATAATCCCATTTCATACCTAAAGCTGTATTTATTCTATCTGGTGTTACTCTTCCTATATTATCATTCTCTTGATTAGCATCTCTAAAGCTTTTTCTGTCTTCCCCTTTTAGACTTTCTATGTTAGTTTTGTTTTAGGTGCACTGTTATAAAGTAGTCTATAGTAAGATCATACAAACCAACCAATCAATAAAATTGACTACTCAATCTGCTTTTTAAAGATTCAATATATTTGGTTATGAATTTCTATTTCAGTGTTCTTATTTTCCTTCATTCTTGTCTCTTTCTCTCTCTCTCTGTGTATGTGTGTATGAATTTTTTTTCCCCTACCAGTACTGAAGTTTGAACTCAGGGCCTTTTGCTTGCTTAGTTTGCTTGCTTGGCTAGTATTCTGACACTTGAGTTATAGCTCCAGCCCAGCTTTTTGTTGGTTAGTAGGAAATAGAATCACACTCACTTTTCTACCCACCCTGCCTTCAAAGCATAATGCTCTAATCTCAGTCTTGTGAGTATCTAGAACTGCAGGAGTGAGCACAGATGCCTGGCTACATCAATGTTTTTAAGGTTCTGTTCCTCTACAAGAAGCTCAAGATTGTTATTCTTATTTCTTTCATCTATATTATATCTTTAGTTCAAATCCTAAAACACACTTTTATTTTCTAATAAGGGTTAAGTAGAAGTATTCAGTATTTCTATTTTTCCAAATTTGCAAATTATGCATAAACAATTTATAACTTTACTTTCACTAGCCTCTAGTGAAAATAAACCCTCTATTTCTTTCAGTTATGGTATAAAAAACAAACCATGGTAATATTTATAATATGTGCCATTATGTCACCATTAGAAACCAATTATTTTCATATTACCTCTTAGTTTTATAAATATCAAAACACAGTACTCATACTTAAGCTACTTTTACATTACAGAAGTTATTAAACTGTCACGTGCTATGTCAATGTGTTAATAAGCATATATTAAGTGAGAATTAAAAAATATATAAATAACTATTTTAATATAACTACACATACCTGTTTTGAATTAAATAACATTATGCTGGAAAAGAATCTATAGATTTTATTAGATGAAAGGTTAAGACTTCCTGACATCATAAATCTTTAGAATGTTTGAAATAATTTATAAAATTCCAGTTTTGTTTGTTTTTTGTTTTTTTGAGGCAGGGCCTTGATATGTAGCCTAGGCTAAGCTTGAAATCATGATCTTTCTGCTTCGGCCTCCTGAATCCTGGAATTATAAGTGCACACCATCATTCCTGGCTTCCAGGTTGATTTTACTTGCCATTTTTCTTAACATTTTTGGTTGTGAGTGGATTTTTTTTTGGGGGGGGAGGGGTGTCTGGTTGTGGAGCCTGAACTCTGGGCCTGGGCTCTGTCCCTCAGCTCTTCAGCTCAAGGCTAGCACTCTACCACTTGAGCCACAGTCCCACTTCCAGCTTTTTTCTTTTTGCTTATGTGGTGCTGAGGAATCGAACCCAAGCCTCACGCATGCAAGGCAAGCGCTCTACCACTGAGCAACCTTCCCAGCCCCGTGAGTGGATTTTATAGAGGGCTTTTCCTAGGTCCTTTTCCTTTCTCTCTCTCCCAGACCCTTTTCTCATTTTAAGCCCTCTCCTTCTTGTTCCTAAAGTCAGTCTCCATTCAAGATTTAGCACCAAATGGTGGTTTACAGATTCTCCATGGAATCAGTAGGTAGTAAATTCATTTATGTTTGTTAGGGTTCAGGTAGTGGTTTGTGGATTTTTTTTTCTGCTTTCTTGAGCAAAATAGCTGGACTCAAATTGGATACTGAGACTCAATCTGGAATTTCAGGAAGAATACAAGTAAAATTACCTTTACGTTACCAACTTCAGCCAGTTTTATACAGAGAGCTCTTGGTATTGCTTGTTTATACTCTGTAATTATTGTTTCCCTCCTTAATCCAAATTTTTTAAAACCATGTTTCTAATTTAATTTTAGTAAAGATCATTATTTTATATTCAGGAATGAATGTGCATTTTCTTTCTACTGAAATACTTTAAAGCATCTAATCTATTCTAGATAATCATATACATTTTATTTTGACTTGTAATAGTTAAATCAATGTAAAATTTCCTAATACTAACTAATTTGCATGTTGGAATGAGCTGCATTTGATTATGGAATAAGATTCATTTGACTAATGTAAGGTTTTATATTAGTAATCACATGTAAAAAATCTCTTTACATATATCTATGTATCATTTAAAAGTGTTTTGGTTATTACTATAAACTATACTTTTTTTTTTACCTATTTAAACCTCAAATTATTAACTCCTGGAATTTAGGATATCTACCTGTAGACCTAGAATTCACCTCCAATTTTGTCTTTGTTAGTATACGCTTGATTTTTTCTGCATCTTGCTCCAACACATGATCAAAACGAGATGGTATCTCCATGTAAGTCTCCTGGGCTGGCATTAATTTCCAAGTTTTTCATAGTGACCTGATAAACTGAACTTTAATGATTTAAAGATGAAAATCTTGCTGGGCTTGTGGTTCATGCCTGTAATCCTCACTACTTCAAGAGACTGAGATCTGTGGATCACAGTTTGAAAGAGCCCAGACAGGAAAGTCTGTGAGATTCTGACCTCCAACAAGTAACAAAAAAAGCTGAAAGTGAAGCTATAGCTCAAGTGGTGGAGTGCTAACGCTTAGCAAAAGAAGTTCAAAGACATGCCTAAGTCCTGTGTTCAAGCCCCAGGACCAGCAAAAAAGAAAAAGAAAGAAAGAAAAAAGATTTAAATCTCTATAAATGTTAGTTACTGTGTGTTAGAAGTCTCGTATTTGGCAAAATTGTTATTTTATTAGAACTTTAAAATACCCAACAGCTACATTTAGTATAGTTTGTAATATTACATTAGCACACTTAGACTCTGTCATATTATATGTAACAAAAATAGGTCTATTTGTCAAATGCTAATGGTACTATTCTATTGCAGCAAGGTAACTGTACTGGTTTATCTTTCTTGATCAATCTGCTTGGAGGAGACAGACTGAGGGAAACAATGGCCCATTCCCACAGAAAAAGCAAAACAGAGACAGTTATGTTTCTCAAGAGAATGGTTCTCTTATTAGTTTAAAAATATAAAACAGGAGTTGTGAACCATAGCAGAGTGCCCGTGCTGACTAAGCCTCAGCACTGTAAAACAAAGGAAAAAAGTAAATAATAAATAAGGAAGATGGAAAAAGATGAGAAGGTAGGCTGTTAAATTAGAACTGTGAAATCCCTAGACAAGAGAACCTTCATCCTTTTTACTTTATTTTTCAGATAAGGTGTTTGTTTGTTTCTTTCTGAGGGCTGTTTTTGGACTTTGACAGGGCTGGCCACCCTCTTGCCTCTACCTCCAGCCAAGCAGCTGGGATTACTGGTGTGGAACACTGTGTCTGGCCAAAATTAATTGTAACTTTTCTTATTATATCATATTGTCAGAAACTTAAAATTATGTTTATTTTGCTTTTTTGTTTTAGTGTCTTCCTTCCCTCTTTCCTTTCATCCTTCCCTCCCTTTCTCCTTCCCTCTTCTTCCTTCTCTTCCTCCCTCTGAACTCAGAAGCCTATATATACTAGCACTCTACCACTGGGTTACATGCTCAGTCTCATTTTGTATTCTTAACAATGTTTTCTGTTTTAGTTACAAAAAGAAAAAAAAAACCAAAAACATAAAAAAGATTTTTCTAGATGTAGCATTCAGCTTGTTTAAAGTTTCATATATATGTACATGCACAAATCATGTTTTAACTTCTTTTTGTAGAGGACTCACCTAAGGAGACATAAGCTTGATCTTCAAGAGGATTAGTAAATTTTATTTATCTCATTGCCCAAGATTACTTGAAACACATGTTTTGAGTATTATTCTAACTCTTAAGATGACACTGCCACAACTTATTTGTATTTCTGAAAAATCTTTTTCAGTCACCATACCTTACGAGTTCCAATTTGGAAACTGAATTTGTTTTGTAATAAAGTATAATATAGTAATACAAAAGAATTACCTTATAGTAATAATTTCCCCTGGGTTTGCCCTAATGAGCCAGCTACAGTTGATTTTGGAAGGATATTCAGAAGGCCAGCCTGGACTTGTGATTATTCCACTTGGTGCTCGAATTTGTTCGGGGGTCTCTCCACAAGCTGGAAGATAGCCAAAGAAACCTTGGAAAATTATCATGCTTTAAAACACAGAATTAAGTAAGTCACCATTTACCAAAAGAACCCAACATCTTAGGCATTAAATTGTATACAATAAGGTACAGTTTACCAATCTTAGAAAGCTTCTACCATTCCAATGTGATATTCCCTTTTAGAGAAAGCACTGCACCCTAATTAAGAACATACATACATTGGGCAGACAAGGAAGGTTTCAAATTGGATCTTTTATGTCTGGATTGCTAGATAACTGCATCATCCATGTTTTTCTTTTTCAGTACTGGGGCTTGATCTCAGGGTGCTGTGCTAACATGGTTGGTGCTCTACCATTTGAGCCATACCTCCAGCTCAGCTTTTCACTCATTGCTCTAGAAATGGAATCTCCCAGATTTTTCTGCTTAGATTGGCTTTGAACCTCATCCTCTGAATCTTTGTTTGAGTAGCTGGAATTATAGGCGTGAATTACCAATGCCCAGCTCATCCATATATTTTTTTTAGCTCATTTGTATTTATCTTATTTTAATTTACCTAAAGCTCAATATTTACTGAACGACATATTCAAATCTTTAAAATCATCATGTTGCTTTTACAGCACTTTATATATAAGCACAGTACAGTAAGATACTAGAGTGAAGATTCTGTTAATAAGTTAGTGAATGATTGGATAAAGACAGCAAAATATTCAAAATTCCTGCAAAGTAGAAATTTATACCATTAATACTCTTAAACCTATTACAGAATTATAAATGATTCCACCTATTGAAAAATAAACTCATAAAATAATGCTTAAAATATTATTTGGCTGGGCACCAGTGGCTCATGCCTTAAATCCTAACTACTCAGGAGGCTGAGATCTAAGGATCACGGTTCAAAGCCAGCCAGGGCAGGAAAGTTCATGAGGTCCTTATCTCCATTGGCGCGTGGCTCAAGTGGTAGAGTGCTAGTCTTGAACTGAAGAGCTGAAGGACAGTGCCCAGCCCAGACAAAATAAATAAATAAATAAAATATATATTATATATCTGATTATCACAGAAGAAAATCTTTTAGCTTATAGAGTAAGTTAAAACTAATGCCAACACTTTCCTGAATTATTAATTCTTGTATTATCTTGAAGTCTCATTGTAACATAGTTAACCATTTTACCAATCTTGAATTCAGGTCATGATCTGGTCATTTATTTTCCCTCAATTAAAAATAAAGTCACTTAGCTACAAAAAATAAACAAATAAATGAGGAAAGCTCAATGCCTCAGTAGAATTTAAAAAGCACAACCTCTTATTTAATAAAATCTCAACAAGTTAACATCTTGATTTTTAAAGTAGCAGAGAATTAGGAACTATAAATGGTAAGTATGGAGACTAGGTACGAATGTTAGAGTTATTAGAAATACTGGGAAATTCTTAGAAATTACATACTGAACTTAAAGAAAACACATGAGAACTCAAAGTATTTATGTTACTGCTTGTCTTCGAAATCACAAGGAAAGAGGTATATTATTAGTAAATTTATTCTCATACCCATTAAGTTGCTGAGTGGGTGAATGAATCAAACAAAGTACCTGGCACACTATACAGATTAAGCTACCATGCTCTTTAAGTTCTGCTCTGAGTTTAAAAACCAGGTAACCTAATTTGCAGATAGCCAAATAACCTTACTGCAATTATAAGTTGGAAAAAAAAGGTTTTTTTTCTTTTTGGTAACAGGTATCATATAGTCTTTTCAACTCAGATTAAGAATGCTGGAAGAGCTCTCGGTTCTATTCTAGCTCTCTCTCTCTGTTCTTACCTCTCTCTCTGTTCTATTCTAGCTCTCTCTGTTCATTTCTAGCCCTCTGCTCTCTCTCCCTTTTCTAGCTCTTTTCTCTCTCTTTCCTTTCTTTCCTCTTTCCTTTCCCAGCCACGTGGAGTGCCAACCTTGCCTGGTCCCAGCAGGTCTACTGAATAAACCTACCCCTTACCTGAATACCACGTGCGTGCTGGTGCAGTTCTTACTCGGCTACCTCTTTTTAAAAACCTAACATAAATGGTGCCGTGACTAGGATAAATGCTTAAAGTCAGGATAGCTTGGATTTCTCTGTTTTTTTCCTCTTTTTTCTTTTTTTGTTCTTCCCTTTTTGCTCTGAGGAATACCCACAGTTCTGACGGCCTTTTGCAAACCAGTCTGTCTGCGGCTGAATCAGCGCATCGATACCATTGCTGCCTTCACATCCATGTCCACACCACTTCTCTACTCTGGTGAGTGAAACTACTCTCTATGGCTCTCTGTTGCTCAGTCTCTGTCCAGACGTGGTGCCACGCCAGAGAGCTCCTACGGCCTTTAGCTGAAAGGCCGGACACCTCTGAAGCCGAGGACGCTTGGTTTGGGGGGCTTGGCCATTTCTCTCTAGAGGGCTCTGGGGGAAGTCGGGACACCGCTTCTGCCTGGTCAGCTCTCCTTCACTCACCAGACTGACTCTACTCATTTAATGGGGTGCTACGAATCAAGCCTGAGCTGTGAAACCCCTTTGAAATGCCTCCTGCGCTCCCTGGGAGACCAGAGAGCCTAATTTTATGCCATTCTCAGAAGTACACAGTTTTTGCTACTGCAATGGTAAATGGTCAGAAGTTTGTTTAATTTCAGGCTCTCTTTGCTCTTTCTCTGCCATTCATGTCCAACTTTCTACCCTTTTTTCTACAACTTTTTGGCTTGTGCCTTGAAGAATGCGACGCAGGCTGGGTCCCAGGGACCCCCCTCTAGGTTCCCTCTCAAAGGCTAGCCAATGTAGGCTTTTTCTATTTGTTCAGGCTTTCTTTGCATTCTTTCAGAAATTCGCCATCTTGGCCACGTGGTGGGTTAAGGGTTTGGCCCCATCTGACCCTTAACCTTCCACTAAGTTTACTACTCCATCCATCTATTCTAAGGTGCCTTGCTAACAAGTTGCTCTTTTCACAGGCCCTGGTAACTGAGGCCCAACCATCTGATGTGCTTTGTTAGCAAAGATGCCTAAACGTTGTCGAAATTTTAGGTTTTGAGTGTTGCCTTTTTTGTTTTGTGTTGTGTATTCTACTGACTACATGGTTCTAAAATACTGGGCTTATCTGTGGTAAAATTCTCATCACATCTAATGAGTTTTGTCATTTCAGAATATTTGTTGGTCAATTCTTGATAAGAACCAGGTAAGCTCTACTTATTCTACTTGATCTCCTTGTTGCCTTAATTGGAAATAATAAAGGGCTTTTGTGGCAAAGGTTGCAGTTCAAAGCCCGCCCGGGCTGAAAAATCCCTAAGACTCCATCTCCCAGCTAAACTCTGCAAGTGGTACTATAACTCAGTGTGGTTGTGCTAGCCTTGAGCAGAAGTGCTCAGGGACAGTGCCCAGGCCTTGAGTTCAAACCTCCTTGAATACCAACTGGGACAAGCCATCCCAGGAAGGAGCACCTAGACTCAGCCAGTCTGGGGAACAAGGGAACATGGAGAGGAGTAAAGAGGAGATGTCACATCAGCTACTTTGTGCCTGCCCTTTCAAAATTAACCAGAGCCGGGAGGTCAGTAGAAGTAAGAAGCCTGCCCATCTAGTGTCCATACCTGTCTACCTATTAACTGGACAGGAATTTATATTCTTGCCTTTGTCACCTGACTTCTCTACCTAGTTGCCAGATGTCAGAAGTAGCTAGGGACATTTCTACCAACATTTTCAGCCCAAGTCCTGCCTCTTGCCATTTATTTGCTGTCTAGTATTTTTTTTCCAGCCCCTCAATGCTCATGAGACTTCTCCAGACTTCACCTAAGGACTCAATCCACCGAGGGACAGCTGCTACTCACTGCCTTCTCTGGGAGGAGATCAAATTCCAGCCTTATACCCCTATTGTCGATGCCCCTTGTCAGCAGGAAGTAGCCAGAGAGAATCCTCGCCCTACTTCATGATTATTACGAGGCTGGAATGTAAGGTCCGCTCCTGGATGGCTAGCAGACTCCACCCTCCTCGCAGCAAAGTCTCCACCCAGTACCTGCCTTACCTAGGCAACTGGGACACCTGAAGAGGTCACATCTGCATCCGCTGAGGTCACATCTGAATTTGATGTGGCCACACCTTTCTCTGCCCATACCCTAGATAAGGCCTAGCCCAGGCCCAGACTCTCTCTCGGTTCTATTCTAGCTCTCTCTCTGTTCTTACCTCTCTCTCTGTTCTATTCTAGCTCTCTCTGTTCGTTTCTAGC